CTCCATCAGAAATGTACTGAGTGACGAAGTGCTGAGAATAATCAAGATAACAATTTTTATCCAGCCCTCCCAAGAATAATGAAGGCTGCCTGCAATCTATCCTATGCTCATTTACTTGGGGATAAGAGACACTGAACACATGAGGACACTTATAAGTACCAGATGAACATCTGATGTCCAAAATACCTGGGATCAGAGGCATTTTGAATTTAGCATTTTTTTTAAGATTCTTCATATCCATAAATAATGAGAAACCTTGGAGGTGGGACCCAAGCCTAAGCATGAAATATTTTATGTCCCATATGCACCTTACATGGATAGTATAAAAGTAATTTTATACAATATTTAAACATTTTTTGCATATGGATGTATTTGGAACCACCTTAACTACCCATGTGGACAACTTTGGCGTATTTACGAATTCTAAATAAGGGAAGCTCAACCTGTACATACTGTGCTTGAAAGAGTCTTCCTATGGTGATAAAATATGGGGAAAGAGATTTGCCACACCCACATTAGTAGGCAAAATTATTTCTCGTCAAGCAATGCTAAGTGCTCCCTCAAAAAAACCAACAAACCCAAAACATATTCAGGGATCCCTGCCTTATTAGATGCTAGGAAAGACAGACCAACTAAGTGATCCCTTCAAGGACACTGATGGAGTGGCGTTTTGGATGGTGGTCTCCACTAGTCAGATCCCCAGCTACACTGAACATTTAACCAAGTTCCAAAGCAGTATGTGCAGATAATGGTATAGGAAATCCTGGAACCTGTTTAAGGCTCAGATAGTGATTGCACAAACCACAAAACACTGATGGCACACTAACGAAAGCATACTAAAGGCTTTCGTTCGCCCACTTGTGCTGGAATTTGCTGTTTGAAGCATTAAAAAAGAGCTTTCCAAACAGTGTGCTGTGACATGTTAGTGTGTTGGCTGCAGAGTGTGTGTCATGTAACTGTTACAAGATTTTGTAGTCTATGTGAAAGAAGCAGTCAGTTATACACATTTTTTTTAAAAAAAGAAAGGTTTTCATGAGATATGTTATGTGACCATACATTTTGGTATTACAATTTATGTATGTGTCCATATCTCTTATAAGGCGTTGATTTAACCTCCTGTTTGCTCGTTAAACTGAATCACTGTGGACCTTTCTACACTGCCTAATTACCTGCTTTGAACTGGATTGTATGAGACTACTAGCAGATAATCTGGATTTTATATGGCAGTGTAGAAGAGGTCTGGGTCACGAAATAATGCACCTCTAAAAAAAGTATGCCCCCAACATGAAAGGCTTGGAAAGTTCAGTACAGATGGGGAGTGTCCTCACTCTCTACATGCAGCAAGAGAGGCTCCAAACTGCATTATAAATGGTCAATGTAGATGGAACCATGGCTCAATCCCATGGAATACAGGCAGTCCCTGAGTTACAAATCATCATTAAGAATGGAGCTGAGACAACAGAAAGGGTGAGAAATCTCCCCCTCAGAAGGTAAATTCATTCCTAAAAGAGTTATCATGGGGAAAAGGTGTCTTGACTGAAGCTTTCTCACCAAGCCTTGTTTCCACAACAAGCACTTTTTTAAAAATCCAATGATCACAGGGACAGAAAATGTGGTGAAATCTTCTGAGCAGGGGCACAGACAACAAAACAAATTCCATAGTGGTGCTAACCCTTCCCTATACTATCCAAATATTGTATATGAGGCATAGGCAAACTTGGGCCCTCCAGGTGTTTTGGACTTCAACTCCCACAATTCCTAACAGAGTACCAGCTGTTAATAACCTTGCAGCTTCAAAGCTTGGCTGCTTTATTTATCAGGACAGTAAATAAAGAAAAACACTCAAAAACAGGGGAAATCCAGACAATAAACAATCAGGGCCAGCTAATCACCTCCCAACAAAGGATTCCTCCAGGCAGGAAGCAGCCAGGCTTTGAACCTGCAAGGCTATTCAATGCTAATCAAGGCGATCAATTGCAACATTCACACTTGCCTCAAACAGACAAGAATTCTTTCTCACATCCTGAACATTTCGCAGATTTATAAACCTCACTTGCCTAGTTTCTAACAAACCTCACAACTTCTGAAGATGCCTGCCATAGATGTGGGTGAATGTCAGGAGAGAACGCTTCTGAAAACATGGCCATACAGCCCAGAAAACTCACAGCAACTCAAAAATGATTACTTTTCATTATGATGGTCTTTGACTTGATTCTGTTGTGAGCTGTCCTTATTATTTTGTGTCCAAGTCTGATAGGTGGTGCAAATCTCCATTTCTAAGCCGAAGACCAGGCATTGCTTGTCGACACCTCCAAGGTCATGTGGCCAGCATGACTGCATGGAGCACCGTTACCTTCCCGCTGATGTTTCAGTCAGCAAGTTCAGCGGTTTAACCTGCTATGCCACCAGATATATTAATTTTATGTATATATGTGTGTATGACTGGAGTTACACTTTAAAAATGTACCTGTTCTAACTTGTATGCAACTGCATACAATTTCAACTTAAGAGCAAAGCTACAGTAAAATCAGGACAGTAAATAAAGAACAACACTCTGAAAACTGGGGAATTCCAGACATGAAACAAGCTCCAGCTAACAACTTCCAACAAAGGATTCCCTCAGGCAGGAAGCAGTCAGGCTTTGAATCCACAAGGCTGTTCAATGTTAATCAAGGTAGCCAATTGCAACATTCACACTTGTCTCAAACGGCCAGGAGTTCTTTCTCCCACCCTGGACATTCCACAGGTATATAAACCCCACTTGCTTAGTTGTGTGTGTGTATGTATAAACTGGAGTTACACTTGTAACCTGTTCCAACTTGCATACGATTTCAACCTAAGAGCAATGCTACAGTAAAATAAAGAACAGGGGAATTCCAGACACAAAACAATCAGGGCCAGCTAACACCTCCCAACAAAAGATTCCCTCAGGCAGGGAGCAGCCAGGATATTCAATGCTAATCAAGGTGGCCAATTGCAATATTCATACCTGCCTCAAATAGACAAGAGCTCTTTCTCCCACCCTGGACAATCCCATTTGACCAGTTGCTAACAGATCCCACACCACTGTGGATTCTCTCCTGACATTTCACCCACATCTATAGCAAGCACCCTCAGAGACTGTGAGGCCTCACAACGGGTTGTTGTAGGTTTCTATGGCCATGTGTTCTGAATGCAATATTTCTGCTTCTTGGCAGGGAGTTGGACTGGATGGCCCATGAGGTCTCTTCCAACTCTATGATTCTATGTTCTAGAAGCATTCTCTCCTGACCTTTCGCCTACATCTGTGGCAAGCATCCTCAGAAGTTGTGAGGTTTGTGGGAAACTAGGAAAATTGGGTTTATATATCTGTAGAAGGACTTTATAAACCCTGGACTTTCCACAGATATATAAACCTAATTTTCGTAGTTTCCAACAAACCTCAGAACTTCTGAGGATGCCTGCCACAGATGCAGGCGAAACATCAGGAGAGAATGCTTCTGGAACATGGTCATATGGCTCGGAAAACCTACAACAACCCAGTGAAAGCCTTCTACAATACATTGAAACCAAAACATTGGGCTATTTATTTATTTATTTATTTATCATGTCAGGAGCGAACCAAAACAGTTGTATTGCATTAAAAAACAGACAAACAAACAAAACACAAAGTTTGCAGACTTGGTAGTAAGGATGCTTGTCATAGATGCAGGCGAAAGGTCAGGAGAGAATGACTCTAGAACATGGCCATATAGCCTGAAAAAACCTACAACAACCCAATTCTTTGTCTGCCTGAGGCAAGAGTGTTGCAAGTGGCCACCTTCATTAGCATTTAATGGCCTTGCAGCTTCAAAACTTGGCTGGAATGTCCCACCCTGGACATTCCACAGATATGTAAACCCCACTTGCTAAGTTTCCAACAGACCTCACAACCTTTGAGGAGGCCAGCCACAGATGTGGGTGAAACGTCAGGAGAGATTGCTTCTGGAACATGTCCATACAGCTGGGAAAACTCACAGCAATCCAGTGATTTCGGCCATGAAAGCCTCCAACAACACATTAAAACCAAAACATTGGGCTAACAGGGTGGGAGAAAGAACTCTTTGTCTGCCTGAGGCAAGGGTGAATGTTGCAAGTGGCCACCTTGATTAGCATTTAATGGCCTTGCAGCTTCAAAGCTTGGCTGGAATGTCCCAGATATAATGTATTGTCAAAGGCTTTCATGGCTAGAATCACTAGGTTGTTGCGACTTTTCTGGGCTGTATGGCCATGTTCCAGAAGCATTCTCTCCTGACATTTCACCTGCATCCATGGCAAGCATCCTCAGAGGTTGTGAGGTCTACTGGAAACTGACCTCTGATATGTAAACCCCACCTGCCTAGTTTCCAACAGACCTCACAACCTCTGAGGAGGCAAGCCATAGATGTGGGCAAAAGGTCGGTAGAGAATGCTTCTGGAACGGAAAACTCACAGTAATCCAGTGATTCCGGCCATGAAAGCCCCTGACAACAGAATAAAACCAAAACATTGGGCTAACAGGGTGGGAGAAAGAACTTTTTGTCTGCCTGAGGCAAGGGTGAATATTGCAAGTGGCCACCTTGATTAGCATTTAATGGACTTGCAGCTTCAAAACTTGTCTGGAATGTCCCCACCCTGGACATTCCACAGATATGTAAACCCCACTTGCCTAGTTTCCAACAGACCTCACAACCTCTAGAATGCCTCTAGAACATGGCCATATAGCCCGAAAAAACCAACAACAACGCAATTCTTTGTCTGCCTGAGGCAAGGGTGAATGTTGTAAGTGGCCACCTTCATTAGCATTTAATGGCCTTGAAGCTTCAAAGCCTGGCTGGATGTCCCACCCTGGACATTCCATAAATATGTAAACCCCACTTGCCTAGTTTCCAACAGATTTCGCAACCTCTGAGGAGGCCTGCCATAGATGTGGGCGAAACTTCGGGAGAGAATGCTTCTGGCACGGAAAACTCACAGCAACCCAAAGATGGAGAAGCCCTTACCTGCAGGACGAGGGGCTCCGGGTTGAAGGCGAGCGTGATGAGGAGCTGCATGCGCTCGGCGTCCTTGAGGTTCCGGAGGAGGAAGCTTCCGGAGTCCTTGGTCTCGGCGTAGCGGCGGACGAGGCGGTCGAGCAGGCGCTGCGAGGGGCAGTGCACCAGGTCGGACCAGCCCTCCACGGCGTCCGGGGTGAGGAGGCGGACGTCTCCGTTGATGGCGGCGAACTCGGTGGCGTGGAGGGCCTGCGGGAGGTCGCAGCGTCCCCTGCCGGCGGGGCCTAACCCTGGGGCCGGGGCGGCGATGGCGCGGCGGCAGATCTTGGCGTCGAGCTCGGCCAGCTCCCGCGCGGAGCCGAGGCGCTTGAGGACGACGCGGCGGCTGCCCTCGCGGGGCTCCCCGTAGCGCGCGAAGAAGACGTTCTTGACGTTGAGGAAGTCGAGGAGGCGGAGGCGGCCCCAGCTCTCGAGGCGCAGCTGCCCGTTGAGGAACTTGCGGCACCAGCTGGTCCCCCAGCAGGCCGGGCACTTGTTCAGCTGCAGGAAGCGCCGCTCCGAGAGCTCGTTCCGCTGGAGGGAGGCCAGCAGCGAGGGAGAGTTCAGCGCCAGCGCCGCCGCCAGCAGGGCCAGCGCCGCCAGCTTCACGTAACGGTACAGCCTGCCCAACTTCAGCGACACCAGGCGGAGCATCGTCCGCTCGCGACGCCTCCCAGGCCGGGCCAGCCGAGCCGAGCCGGCGGCGGACACCTCCTTCCCCGGCCGAGCTCCGGCACACCAGTCCACTCCCCACCGCGAGGCTCGCCTGATAAAAGGCAGCCAAGTTACTGAGGGAGGCGGGGAAAGGGGCGGAGCTTGACTCGGAAAAGGGGGAGGAGCCTACCATAACCGCCGCTGCCCGGCCGTTAAAAAGGTGGCACGCGCACGCCTCGAGGGGGTTTGGCTTTGTTTTGGTTTTTTTTTTTGTTCCTCGCGCGCTCCCGTGGAAATGCGCGTCACCTTCGGCGAAGGGGGAAAGAAAGAGACTTGAGAGAAATGCGCTCAGGGGGCGTGGCCCGCCTACGGGGCCGCGCGAGCACGCCACCGGCGCTGCCAAACCGCGAATCGGATTGGTCCGATCGTCGTCGCTCGGCCCCGCCCCTTCTCCCATGCAAGGCTATATAAAGCCGCCGCCGGGAGAGTTTCGTGTTCTGTTTTGCCTTTGCATTCCTGAGGGAGGGAGGGAGTCAGTCAGTCAGTCAGTCAGTCAGGAGAGCGGCCTCCGCCATGTTGTCTTTATTTAAGCGAGTGTAGTAGGGGGGGAAAGGGCGGAGTTAGGAAAGAAAGCGCTCCTGCTGCTTTTCTCTCGCCTTGTCGGGGTTTTAGTTATCGTGTCAGGGGCAGACCAAACAGTTGCATTTCATTTTTAACAAACAAACAGGACACAAAGTTTGCAAGCTTGGTAGTTGATTAGAGCCGTTCAGCAGTGGAACTCTCTGCCCGTAGTGTGGTGGAGGCTCCTTATTTATTACTTTACTTTACTTATATACTGCTGTTCTCAGCCCGAAGGCGACTCACAGCGGTTCACAACCAATAAAAACAGCAATAATTCAATGCAGAATATAACAACAATTAACTACTTAACACACTACCCAACAATAAACACTTACTACAATAACCGATCACAATCGTCTCATTATCAAAAACATAATCCAGATTCGTCATCCATTGTTCCATTCCTATGTTCATTACCAATCATTGCACTAGTTATTCGAACGCCTGCTTGAACAGCCAGGTCTTCACTTTTTTGCGGAATACCATTAGAGATGGTGCTAGCCTAATGTCCGTGGGAAGGACAATATTGTGTCCAATTCTGGGCACCACAATTGAAGATATTGACAAGCTGGAATGTGTCCAGAGGAGGGCGACTAAAATGATCAAGGGTCTGGAGAACAAGCCCTATGAGGAGCGGCTTAAGGAGCTGTGCATGTTTAGCCTGAAGAAGAGAAGGCTGAGAGGAGATGTGATAGCCATGTATAAATATGTGAGAGGAAGCCACAGGAGGAGGGAGCAAGCTTGTTTTCTGCTTCCTTGGAGACTAGGACGCGGAACAATGGCTTCAAACTACAAGAGAGGAGATTCCATCTGAACATGAGGAAGAACTTCCTGACCGTGAGAGCCATTCAGCAGTGGAACTCTCTGCCCCGGAGTGTGGTGGAGGCCCCTTCTTTGGAATCTTTTAAACAGAGGCTGGATGGCCATCTGGGATTTGAATGCAATATTCCTGCTTCTTGGCAGGGGGTTGGACTGGATGGCCCATGAGGTCTCTTCCAGCTCAATGATTCTATGATTAAATGTCCTTTGACCAGTAGCTGGCCACTTGGAGTGCGTCTGGTGTTGCTATAAGAAGGCCCTCCATTGTGCATGTGGCAGGGCTCAGACTGCATTGTAATAGGTGATCTGTGGTTTGCTCTTCTCCACACTGGCGTGTCGTGGACTCACTTTGTGGCCCCATTTCTTAAGCTTGGCTCTGCATCTCGTGGTGCCAGAGCACATTCTGTTCAGCGCCTTCCAGGTCGCCCAGTCCTCTGTGTGCCCAGGGGGGAGTCTCTCATTTGGTATCAGGCATTGATTGAGGTTCTGGGTTTGAGCCTGCCACTTTTGGACTCTCGCTTGCTGAGGTGTTCCAGCGCGTGACTCTGTAGATCTTAGAAAGCTATTTGCCTTGTCGGGTGAGGGGAAGCTTTTGTTTTTCATGAGGGCTCCGAGCTTGAAGGAAGCCGAGTGCCCAAAAGCAGGCTCTTCAAGCGGGCCGCTCTTGGTACGCTTTGCTTAAAAAGCTTCAGAGGAAATAAGTGCACTTTTGGGAAAGCATTTGTCCCAGTTCGTTTCCCTATGAAAGGAGGAGCACATGATATCCCTCCACAGAGAAGGCTGCCTCAGATTCTTAGGCGGAGTAATGCTGGTCGATCTTTTCCTCCCTCTTGTTGGGAAGAGGAACACTGAATTAGGTCGATAGTTAATTATGGATCCTTAGGAGTTTATCGTTGAGGCTGAATGGAAGATACCGATCAGACCTGTTGAGAAAATGAGAAATCTGTCCAAATGGGTTGCTGTGAGTTTATTGGGCTGTATGGCTATGTTCCAGAAGCATTCTCTCCTGACGTTTTGCCCACATCTATGGCAGGCACCCTCAGAGGTTGTGACGTCTGTTGGAAACTGGGCAAGTGGGGTCTATATATCTGTGGAATAATGTCCATGGTGGGAGAAAGACCGCTTGACTACTTGAGGCAAGTGTGAATGTTGCAATTGGCCACCTTGATTAGCATTGAATAGCCTTGCAGCTTCAAGGCTTGGGTGATTACTGCCTGAGGGGATCCTAGTTTCCAACAGATCTCATAACCTCTGAGGATGCTTGCCACAGATGTGGGCGAAACTTCAGGAAAGAATGCTTCTGGAACATGGCCATGCCGCCCGAAAAGCTCACAGCTACCCAGAGATTCTGGCCATGAAAACCATCAACACTTTGGAGGGCCAAAGTTTGCCCATGCCTGGTCTACACTGACCATATAATACCGTTTCAAATAATGCAGTGTAGATTCAGCCCTAGTCTGATCATAACCCAGCTAACCTATTTTCAGTGGGACTGGTTCAAGATAGGTTTGTTGGTAGCACACTATAAACTTTAAGATCCTAAACTTTAGCAACTGAAACAATGTGTTTTAGTTGAGGATGTGTTAAGTTTTGCAGAAGTGAAAAATGCAAACGCTGTTATAAGCATCACTTATTAAAATAGCTCTGGTTATATTTGGAAGTGCTTACCAGGCAGAAAATTGGTTGCGCTAAAAGCAGTCCTTCCTCTTATTTGGTGTGCAGCAGATCCTTGCTTGTGGCACTGATAATCTCTTGCCAAAGTGTCACTTGTATTCCAATAAAACAGGTCCAGAATTGTACGCAGCCACTTCAGAAATCAAGTGTTCAGTACATGAATATAATGTAACCTTTACTTACATAATACAGCAGAGGGCAAGGCTAATGATAGCCCAAATTGCTAGCTTCCCCATCAACTGGATGCTTGAAAATAAATAAAGCTCGCATCATCCTGCAGTTGGATGTTGTTATAATCGCTTTTAAAGTTTGTTTTTAAATGCCAAGGTTTTCCTGTAACAGGAGCAAGGGCAGGATGGCAATTTCAGCTTCCAGGATTAAGAAGGTACCTTAACTGTAGTTGCAAAAGAGTCTTACTTTCATTGCTGTGGTGTAAAATAGAAGGCTTTAGTACCTTTGTGCTTTAATTTGAAAGATCTGTTTAGACAGTAAAATGAGGGACAGTGTTAATAGATGGAAGATAGGCTACTAACAGAAGGAAAAAGCCACATGTTCCTCAAGCTCATTGAAGAAAAATAGTAATATAAATATAATTAATTCATTGACACTGATGTACATGAAATATATATTTCCTATCTACAAAATTATGCATACATGTGAAGATTTCTGTTTGTCAGTCTTTCTTCACAATGGCATAAGTTTGATCTCATCCCAACCTCAGCATTTTATGGTGTCTTGGGTGTGTGTGGGGGGAAGGGGGGTATTGTCTTTGTCCGGCTATGAGTTTGAGTTGTTGAAGGTCACGCCTTGGGGATTCAAACCCTGCTCTCCAGGGTCATAGTCCAACACTCAAAGCATTGCACCATACTGGCTTTTTGCACAAGGACATACATTTAGCAAAAAAAGAGCTCTCTTTATTCCTGGAGCATTACTGAACAGGGAAAACTGGCAAGTGCAGCATTCACTCCTGCTAAGCCCATGAGACCTTTCACTCCAAATGACAAAGAATATCCTTGAAGCCAGTTCTATAACAAATATAGCTTGCAGAGTATTTTGCAAAGTTGATACTTGCATAATATGTTTTTTAAAAACTTGTTGACATTATATGCAAACATATTAGAGGATTACAACAATGCACAATGGAAGAACATTTAGGAAATCCCTTTGTGCAACAGATAACACCACAAGACATAGCAAATGATAGTAAGATTTTTTTCTGTCTGGTTGCATGATGCCAGTGAGTTTCTACTGGCCCTTGTTCTGAGTGACCAGTGTCCCACAACTCTGTTGGGGCCATTATCCCTTTCTTTGGTATCCACCCATTACTGCGCAAGGGTAAATGCTGTAAAATGGCAGTGCTTCTTGCACAGTGCTCCCAATGGAACAGCTATAACAGTTCTTCTCTCCCGGGAATTCAGCAGCTATGTAATAAGGCAAAATTGCAATTGTCAGTTGGTTTACAATGTTGTTAAAGGGTGTGAGCTAGTACGAGGGTTGAATGAAAAGTAATGCCTCTACCTTCATTACTTGGGTTTGGATGCAGGCCCGTAGCCAGGATTTCGTTTCGGGGGGGGGGGCTGAATTTTTTTTCAGGGGGGGTTTCGGGGGGGCTGAGTTTCGGGGGGGGCTGAGTCTGAGTGAAAGAGGGTCTAGCCTAGCAAACCTTTTGTATCATTACCCCAATACCCCCATGCATATGGGATATATTGAGTATGGTGATCAGATCATGATATGAATAAACATAACAGTTTAAATAATGCACCAGTAAGGCCTTTTCGCAAACCACCATGAGAATTTGGGGGGGGGCTGAAGCCCCTCGAGCCCCCCCCCCCCCCCCCCGGCTACATGCCTGTTTGGATGGGAATATTTTAATTAATCAAACGCAGAAATAATCCTTAGAATGTGCTCTTTAATTACCACTATTCACTTTTACACATAATCACCAGACAATTGGATACATTTCTGCCAACAATGAACAAGTTTTCTGAAGCTGTCACGGAAGAAGTCG